AAAATAAAAACATCATCGCTTTCTCAAAATCACATAAAGTCATATTATAACATCGACTGAGATAAAGAATAAAATGAAATATTAAAAACACGATGTATCTCGCTGCATTGCRCGAGTACTYTTCTAGTATATATATATATATATATATATATAGCTAATCATTTTAAAAGATGTAAAACGTATAATATGCAATCATTTATAAATATATAAACATGTATCCCATTTTAAAAGTCGTATCACACTTAGTTTGTCACGTAAGGTAATCCTTAATCTAATTGGTTGATATTATTGCCTACACACATATGACATGCACACGAAATGTCTACATAACTTACTAGAATGTTCATGCTAACTTATTTTGTAAACGTATATTAATCTGAACAACATCACAAACCACATAAGGGTATATGCGATTTCCGTACGATTTCCCAAGTCGTTTTTAAGCTCGATGGGCTTAGTCGACTTCAATGGAAGTTGGAACTCGTGTTGTCTGACCACAAGACATCCTAGTGACAGGTGGCTTACTTCACAAATTGCATGCTCTATGTTTTGTCGTCACAAATTTGACTATGCAACTTAGCAAGTCACTTGTACTGTATCGAGAGTCGACCAACGTGCAACAATGGCGTTTTCAAACCATTGTAACTCCTTTTGGTTTGTTTTTTTTTATTCGTCATCTTTTTGCATACAAACAGTTATAACAAGATATACGTATACTGTTCGTTCACGAATGTCACCAACTAATTTAAATATATTTTAATTAGTCTTATTAAAAACAAGCATGAATTCATTAATTTAGTTTACATTGATTATATATTTTAGTTGACTTAAAAGATGAACCTTGACCTAGTCTTGCAACAGGTGGAAAAAGCAGTCAACGAACTGGTCAAGTCAATTATAAATAGATCTCCAATAATTTGTTAGGGTTAGGTTCCGATGAGAATGATAGTTCTGGTGAGAAGCATAAGAAGAGATGTTCATTCTTGAATCAATCTTAATTGAATGTCAACACTAATGAGGTGCACCGGATCAATTCCCTTCTAAAACGTATTTCATGGGTGAGTATGGGATTAAAAGTGATTAATGGTTCAGATCGCTTTTCACTATAACTTTCATTCTCACACGATTCTTTGTCTAATTCATTATACGATTATTTTAGATTGACTCATAGATTTTAACCAGCTAGTTGCCTTCTTAGTCTTCCTAGACCACTAGTTGACTTCTTAACCTTAAGGGCTTAAACAAGATAAGGGCATGAAGATTGACCCAACTCAGATAAACTGTCGATAGGGTGTTCCTTTGGTTGGGGTTTTGATAGCTTAAAGAAATTTGGGTCTTATTTGGAAAAAAAAAACAAAAAATTTGCAAGCGAAGGAGGGCTTAGGGGCCGTTTACTAAATACTTACCCGGTAAGTATGGATCGGGTAACTTTCCTCATCTGATGCACATGGCAAAGGCTGAAAATCTTACCCAGTAAGAGCGATGATAGGGATAGAGAGTTTTACCCGGTAAGTGATGATGAGGACTCTTACCCGGGTAAACGTTTACCTGGTAAATTATTGCATACGATACCGTTTTAATATATTACAATTTTATCAGGTAAGATACATTATAGTGTTGACTCCTACTGCTAAGCGTTTACCGGGTAAGTATTTGGGTAAACGGGCCCTTAGTTTGAAAGCTTAAAGTAATTTGGGTTTTATTTGAAAAAAACAAAAAATTTGCAAGCGAAGGAGGGCTTAGTTTGGGCCCTCAAGCCCATTTAAATGGTGCACTTGCGGACCGTATATCCCGTTTAATGGCTTCAGGCACAACAAATTTTGTATATATTATGTTTATTGTTTAAGAGTATTTCATTTTAATAAGAATATAAAAATTAAAAATAGAAA